GGACTTTACATCCTCTGCCTCTTATTCTCCTGTGACTGAGGGAGGTGTCTGTCTGAGATGTTTTTGCATACTTTAATGGGCTGTGAGAATAATCTTGGGGGACAGCTGCAGCCAAGGTAATGGTCAGATAAGAAAAATCTCAGCCCAAACCAGGATTGGAATTTGAGAAACCATCTCAGACTTGACCCTCCCTAGTTCTCTTTAAGATAAAGGCAGGGAGGGGGAAGGTACATTCAGAGTTGCAAGATTCTGTTAATATAACCCTATAACAAAAGTAGTTTTAATATTCATGACTTTGGTGTTCAGGTTTGGTCTACTTCAAAGGGTTGGCACATACCTTCTGTATGACTTGGGCTTAAGCCATGTTTTTCACCTCATCGTTTTGATAACAGATCTCTCTTATCTCTGCCTCACCTACAAAGAGGGAGAGAGAGAGGTTTAACGTTGATAATGATTTGGGGGAGGAGCTGGGTTTCATAATTCACTTGCTGATTATCCACAGGCTAAATGCGTAGCCAGCCAAGGGAGCAGGAAGAACTGCTCTGTTACAGAGCTCTTTGTCAACATGATGATATTGCTAGTCTCTCGGTCTAGAAATCCAGAGTTCAAAATGATCATGGGAGATTAGACTGGTCCTCTTTCACTCTCCCCTCCCTATCAGTCTTGCCATTTCAATCCAAGTTGCATCTCAACATTGCATAGGGATTGATCTGTAAGAATGAGTGACATGTTGTGTTCTTTAACATCCTTTGATTATTTCATTTCTGCTCCAACAAGATTTCGAGAAGTCCTCAAAACTCTGGCTGAAAGTGATGAAGGGAAGCTCCATGTTCTCAGAGTTATGTATGAAGTATGGAAAAATCATCCTCAGGTAAGAGTGAATATTTATAGACTGCCTGCCTGCCTGCCTTCCTGCCTGCCTTCCTTCCCAAAACAATTCCCAGTTCCAGTTTAGGTAGGAGAACTAAAGTGTGTTTCCTCCTAGATTTAAATCTCTATTGAATTAGAATTAGTTTATGTTGTTGAACAGGACCTGAAACATTTTTATTTTTGTATCTATTATTTCATATGATTAAAACCAGAGAAAATGTTGGCGTCCATATAGATGCAGTTTTTAATCTCCTCCCAAAGCAGGGGACAAGCATCCTCTGTGCTCAGTCAGAAGAAAGGATGGACTGAAACATTGACAGAAATCTCTGTGCCTTTTAGCAGGAGTGGAGGTTGCCTCCCAGTATTGCAGGGTGACCTTTGTGTTTTTAGGAATGGTCTTCCTGCTCGTATATTGGT